GTGAGAGAGTGTGTGTGTGTTGTGTGTGTGTGTGTGTGTGTGTGTGTGCAGGGTCAGACTCTGGTTAGTTGTACAACCACGTGTTGGAGCTGCTCTTTATCTGTGTGTTTACACCATGTGATGCACAAGACTAAACGTCCCAGAATGCATCCCTGCGGAGCACCAAAACAGGCCCCGATCTGTAGGTTTCTGCCCCTAGAGAGAGGAGGATGCACCGGATTAAGAGCCGCGTGTCGCTGCCGAGGAAGAGATTCCCCGTCTGACTGCCAGTCAGCTGATAGCGGGCGGATAAATGCAGCAGTGTGCAGGCAGAGAGGAAATCAGGTCGCTGCTGCTCTGAAACAAGGACACACATTTTATTTCCCTCCTGCTCCAAAAGGGGGAGGGAAAAAAAAAACGACTGGAAAACAGGATTTATAGTCTGGGTTATTTTCATTGGAGTCATGAGATTTCCGAAGCGCTGTTCCCCCCCGTCGCGCTCCGGCAGAACGTCACCTCGCTGACATAAAAGTCCACAAACCCAGAGCGAGTTTTAGAAGACTTTAAATCAGCCTCACCTTTCCTTCTACTCTTTTATTACCGAGCTCTTAACGAGGGCGGTTCGTTAAACATTGGGGTCAGCGCCGACTGCTGCAACACGTGGAGGGACGGATGTGTTTAAGGTCACACTGGAGAAATCTGAATTCTTGGCATTTCAGGTAAATTTCTCCAGCTCCAGGTGGAATAAATAAAGTCCTTTTAACCCTTTAAGATCTCCTCCTCACTTATATTGTTCCCTGTTTAACAATGTAGGACACGATGTTCACAAACACTCAGTTTATTTGTATTTTTATATCAACCAATAACATCAAACATTCACCCGTCAATCAATCTGCAACTTTTAGCGACACAGAGTGAAGATTCATTAGTTAGCTCACTGATTACTGTACAAACACAACTTTATCAGTGATGTAGTGACACTGGATCAGATTTTATGAGAATATCGTCTGGTTTTCTCTCTGACGTCCTCCGCTAACTGCTAATGTAGCTGCCGTTAGCCAGTTAGCTTTGTGGAGCCCAGAGTTTGACATTATGGTCGTCGACAGTTACCTGAATAAAATAACTCTGAGTTGATTATAGATTATTGATTGATTGTTGGTCAGATGTTTCTCTCCTCTGGAGGAAGGAAGGAGGCCTTTCTTGTTCTTCTTTCTCTTCTTCTGCATGATTAATGTCGTCCTCCGCCACCACGCCCCGCCGCTGCCTATTTTTAGACACCCATGTCAGGGAGTGCCAGCATCCTTTGTTGGCCACAATTCACATGATGGATGAAATCATCTCAAAATCGTCCTCCTCCTCTTCCTCCTCCCTCTCTCGCTCTCTCATTCCCTGGTTTTCCTCCCCCGCCCGGCTCTGATATCAGCCTGAACTGGAGCACAGAGACTCTCCTCATCAGGGGAAGAAACAAAAAACATTAAACTGCTTAAGCTGCCTCCGAGTGATCCTCCTTCTCTCAAATCCCCAAACTGGATTGTGAGTGAGGAAGAGGAGGAGGAGGAGGAGGAGAATGTAAACAGATTCCCAATCAAAGAGCAGAAATCTGACAGCGCCGTCACTCTGACTTCCTGTTTGTCTCGCCGTTTGTTCTTTGTTAACGTGACGGCGCTAAAATGTTGGACAGAAAACGTTTCATGTTTCTGCTTTTTACTGAATGAAGCTCAGAGAGAAAATGTTTACAGCTGCTATTAGAACGTGTTTCAGGTGATCTGATTACAAACGGACGCCTCTAAATACAGTGCCAACCACCACCGAGACGCAGTGACAACGACCTGCTGAGGTGGTCTGGGACACAGTTAACCTCATATTATTTGTAATATGAACTCTAATGTGTTCACTGACGTCCTGTAAAAACACAGAAACAGAATTTTTTTTTTTTTTTGTGTTAAGATCAGCAGCAGATGTTCGGGAACTCACTGTAACCTCGACATCACCAGACTACATTAAAGAAATCGTACAATTTGAGAGTGACTGAGTGAGGAGAAACTTTATAAACTTGGTGAAACGATATCAACCTCACGTTGTTCATTATTTGGGCCTTCTTGTAAATTCAGCAAACGTTACACATTAAGTTATTTCTTACTTTGTTATTTCCAGCGTGTTGACTAGACGGCGGTCCAACCTCCTCGACTGCCGTCCACTGTGAGAGACTGTTGGAGCAGGACTACCCTGCGCAGGTAGAAACAACTAAAGCTAGTGTCTGTTGCTGAACTGAAAGCTAAAAGAGTAATGATGGACTTTAACTGAGTCGGTACGGCACTTCAGAAGAGAGATCCAATCACAAACGGTCACTGGAGACGTTTCCTAACACCAGGTGGAAACAGGCTCATACAAACAGTCTGCTTTGAACAATTAAAATCCTTAAACTTTAATAAAAATGACACAATCTATGAAAATGCAACTTTTGTTCAGGTTTTCCTGCTGACTCAAGATGATGATTTTCCAAAATGGTGTCCGATATAGACACAGGAATAACTTAATTAAAGAATATTTAACTTAAATATTCTTTCTTTAAGACAGCAGCTGTCTGACCTTTCACTACATCAGCCGCCATATTGGTCATCTGTAAATGTTTCCCCTTTAAACTCGGTATCAGTCTCAGATATCAGTCGGGCGGATGAGGATGCAGCAGCTGATGACCTTTAACCTTTAACCTCACTCACTGACGATGTCATCACCTCACAGATTCTTCCTGAGCTGTCGTGTCTGTAACTCACAGATATAAAAGCTCTGTGCGAGTTATATAAGACTCAAGCGTAAACATCAGGTATGTGTGATGAAACTGGAACTGCAGCGTATAAACAACCTCTCACACCACGTTTCTCTTCTGCCACGCCACCACCACCGCCGCCGCCGTTTGATCTGCCCGGAAGTGGAGACATGTGTTTCCAATCAGCCGATGTTTCCCTGCAGCTTGTTTCACTTCATGTCTGTCGTCCAGGCGGCTGGGTGGAGCCGGGAAGCGTCAGTCGGACATCAAACAGCAGCTTCTGCTTCGACCGCCGCCACCTTTTGTTCCTTTTTTGAGTGACGTATTGGCTGCTGGCCCGGCGGCCTTTGACCCCGCACTTCCTGTTGAGGTCTCTCGTCCTGCAGTAACAACAAGTGGCTGCTGGGAAATACATTTCTGATTAAAAGATGTGAATATGTGTTATTTTATGTTTTATTACTGTTCTGCTTTTGTGAGAAACCTGTTGGTTCTTATTCTGACTGTATTAAAGCTCCAGTGTGAAACATTGAGGAGGATCTAATGTCAGAAATATAATATAAGATAAGATATTCCTTTAATAGTATATATAATAGATAGGTTAATAGGTTAACCCTAACCCTAATAAATATAACATATACAGGTATGTTTTTATTAATGTTTAATCACCGGAAAATAAGAATCATTGTGTTTTGTCTTGTTAACTGAGAATGTTTTCTATCTACAGAGGGAGCGGGTCTCATTCTGGTGGAGTCCGCCATAACGTTCCTTCAGGGTGCTTATTGTCTCAGTAGAAAGGCCTGCTATGGTTGATTATTATCAATTGTGAAAACCCGTGTGTTCACCCAAGTGTGAACTTTTACCACGGTCACACATCGGTCATACCGCTCTGAACTGAGTTCGAATCATAGGCCGTCAGTCATTTATCTATTGCCGCTAGCGGAGGCAACAGCTTCATTAAATATGTTTGTGAACAGATTTGAGGAGAGAAACCAGTAACAGCAGATATCTGGATCCATATCGATAGCACTGTTTGACAGTTTATCTGAGTTTGATGTGTTGAGCTGGTACGGACTCGACTGAGATGAAGCTGTCAAACTCACAAGGTAGCCCGCCTACGAAGCATACCTGCTTTGATGGTCTGTTTTCAATCTAATGGGACATCAGCTTACTAAATGACTCATGGCTGTACTGGAAGCACGACTGAAACTAGAGTAGACACTGAGACCAGAAACTCATCAGGAAACTGTTTACTGATTTATAAATCAACTGAGAAGTCGGCTCATTTCTCCATAAGACTCAATACTATCAGACTTCTTATTTGCAGCCCATGTAGCTCCCCCTGCTGGCCTTTAGAAAGAATGCAGGATTAAGACATTTGCCGTTGGTTAGTGGTTTACCCTACTATATCATGTCAAACTTGCTGCTGTGAAAAAAGGCCTTTAACACCCTGGTTGCAAACAAAAACACCACTTTCTCTTTCTTTTTTCTTTTCAATCACCGCTTTGTGTGAGCAGTGAAAAAGCCCCTGAGTGTTAAAGTAAAGACAGCAGCTTACAAAGAGAAGATGCTGTGAGTGTTTGATGGACAGGCGTGGTCTGGTACTCCTGCTGTTACGTAACCGCCCGCCTGTGAACAAAACTTCCACTGAATTTTCACCGTCTCCACAGATCAAAGGCTCTTCCCTGTTTGCTGCTGCTGCTGCTGCAGGCTGTGAAATATGACTTTATTTCTCCTCCCACGCTCCATCCATGCATACCAATCTGACAGCTCCTACTATTAACCGCACTGTGTGTGTGTGTGTGTGTGTGTGTGTGTGTGTGTTTGTTGTATAGCCTCTGGCGCAGGCTGCGTGTATCTTCCAGTTTCCAGCTCAGAGCATTTGTGTTTCTAAACTTTGGTTTCTCTTCCAGTCTCGTGTTGTGTAAGAGCTGCAGCCACACAGGCGAGTCCTGCAGCCGCCGGCAAGCTGCTGTTATCGCACTTAAAAGGAGTAATCCCACTTTCTCTCATTTCGCTCATTTCTCGTTTCACCGCGCTCTCCCGCTGTGGGCACAGTTTACAGCTTTAACACAGCTTCTTTTCCTCCGCCAACACAGCAAATATAAACATTAAAGTTGTTGTGGATATTCCCACCATCAGCTCGCCGTATACAGTTCATTTAAGTATTTCCTTATAATATATATATATATTATTTATTTGTTTGTTATTTATGCCTGATTTCTTAATTTATTTTAGTTTTTAGTGTAGCTTTTGTAGCTTTGTAAAATCGTTTTATTGTATTTTATTGTCATTTCTATCTTTGTATTCTATTTTTAAATCTACTTTATCAAATTTTTATTTCATGCAGTCTCATTATCGTCTTGTCAATCATCTGTGAAGCACTTTTTTGATTGATTTATATACCAGTATATTTCCGCTCTGTCTATTTTTGCTGTAAAGATTTAACATGACGTGTTGGTTTTAACATTGTAGATGTGACTACCTCGGTACACGCACCTCTGGATCAAACCGGTCAATGGTCTGATTCTAAAGTTACGAAACTGTTGACTGAAACTTTGCTGCTAAAAAACTCTTGAGAGCAACGTTAGCGCAGTGTGGCTCGCGAGGTCAGTACGTAAACAAACATGCCCGACATCGCGGTTTACAGTGCATCAGACACAACATGTTGACTAATGTTTTACCCAAAGCTGGACGAGCCCCCAAATTATATTAAAAGAAGCTCCAACATAAATCAATAAAATCAGTTTTTTCCAAACACAATCAATAACAGCAAATAAAATGTAGTTTAAAATAAGTTTCCTGTTCTAGTATCATCCTGCTACGTAGTCACATACGTTTATTATTAATACGGAGCTAAAATATGATGTAAGATTGTCAGCGGAGGTCAAATGACCAATCGTGGCTCCAAATAGAAACTTTTATACATTTATTATTATATTATTCTGTCGTCATTACGTGAATAGATTTAATGCTGTTGTGTAAAGTTGTACTAATACTTCAACTTGTTGTTTTCTGGTAAGTTATGTATCCTCCATAATAAATGTATATGTTGAAAAAGGCAAACCAAATATAATTTGGTCACAAAAACAATAAATTTGATTATTTTAATTAATTTTAATGACTTAAAACTGGTTGAAATCTCGTTGCTGTTCCCCAGCAGGATGTTCTGTGTCCTAACATGCAGCGTCCACCTGATCCCGTTCATTCTTCGAGGCCTCCCACAGGCGGGGCAGGATTGCCACCGCGACCCTGACGAATTCACATGCTCTCATTTTTTTTCCCAAGCTAAAAAAAACTCACTCTCTACTCTAATAACAGCCTGTGCATGGTAGCAAAAAATAAATCCCCACAGGAGCAGGCAGAGTCAGAGATCTCTCTCACTCTGTCGCTGTTAGCTGCGAACATCTGGTTCCCAGCCATGATTCATGGAAGAGCCTTTCCCTCCTCCTCCTCCTCCTCCTCCTCACCGTGGTCGGGGACGTATGGAAGCAAATTTCCACCAGTGTGACAGAAAAAAAATTATTGTTTTATAGTCATTATAATGAGAAACTTTCTCAAAATATTGACCTAGTATTTGACTTTGTTATACTAAGTCAATATTTTGAGATATTTAGTAATTGAATTGAGATATTAAGTTAATATTTTAAGATATTAAGTCAATCATTTAAGATATTAAGTCAATCATTTGAGATATTATGTCATTATTTTAAGATATTAAGTCAATATTTTAAGATATTAAGTCAATATTTTGAGATGTGTGTTGTCACATTGGCACAAATTGGCTTCCATAGACGGACGGTATCTGGTTTTGTGGGAAGGGGGAGAAACAAACTGTTCGGTGTCAGCCTCATGGAAAGTTATCCAGCAGGCCGGTGGCAGGATATGTTTAGATGGTGGCGGTGGTGGTTGAGTGTGAGTGAGGGGAGGAGGGGGGAGTGCATATTTGTGAGAGGGGATGTTTGAGTCCGGGAGCTCTGCCAAGAGAGAGAGACAGGAGGGTGAGGAGGAGGGTGAGGAGGCTCTAAAAAGGCAAATTAGAAAATAGACAATTCTGGGAGAGAATGGACCTCACTGTACGAACACTTTCATATTTTTATCTTAATTATTTTGTATGTTCATATCAGATTCTGCTCCTAACTTCCGATTTGTGTGTTTCCTGCGTAAAATGATGAATAAATGCCACCTGTGTGGAAAGGAGCATTTGCATAAGTAACGCTGTAATGATACCATATAAGGCTTTAAAGCCAACCCCATGTCATTCATGACTATGATAGAATCGGATTTATTGCCAAGTAGGTTTTCACATACGAAGGATTTGCTTTGGTAAGTCGGTGTTTAACAATTAAACATAGACAAAAATAAATAAAGATAAACATAGAGTCAAAAGGAGACAATAAATACAAATATAAAAGAGAGAGAATATGTCCAATATCCTCCTGAGAACCAAGGAAAAAAGTATCTTCCACTTTTTTAAAAAGTCACTGTTTATGTTTCTTATACTCTCAGCAGACTGTGCTAACGCTAGCTAGTTAACAGCTATGAGTCAGACTAAAGACAATTAAAAGAGCTGAAAGAAGCCATATGACACACATACTGCTGCATTAAAGCAGAGCTCATTTTTTATCATTTTTTTTTATACATTTATCATTTATTTTATTTTTACCTGTTGGGTGGTTTTGTCCGCAATGCCCCAATAAATGTGTATTTATCAAAGGCCTTAAAAATTAAGGCCTGAGATTACAACTCTTTCGCCTCACCCTGGTGGCCATGAAACTCCCCAATCTACAGCCAGTGTTTGGTTTTTCCGTTCTGGGCTTCTGTAGAAACATGGCGGACTCCACCAGCAAAGGACCTGCTCCCTCTGTAGATAAAAACATTCTACGGTAACACAAATATTTTCAGGTGATTATATA